CACTTCCAATAATTGTCATTCAGAATATTATTTTAACTCAAATACATATTCTAATATTCCAAAATGAAATATACATTATTTACATCACATTAATGCTTTATATCAGCAGTTATCAACTGGAACTACATTCTCCCAAGGATGCTGATAATGCTGTGAGCAATGTAATGAAATACTATTGGAGCACCACAAGCAAATTTCAGTGGCTAGACTGATTTTACTTTGGATCTTAATCAATGTAATACTTACATCACATAGTCTGGTAAAACTTGCATATTTAAATCAGACACATGAATTTTAAGTAATTTTCAACATAGTTTTCATCCTTAGAGCAGACACAGCAATAATCCCAAGTATACACTTACGCGTTGTTCACATGCAATGTTCCTTCGCATAGCTGCTGTTAGCAAGAGGAGAAAAAGGAGACATGAAAGAGTTTCGTCTTTTAGGACCCGTTCAGAAGATCACAGTCTTCCTTCCCTTTACACCTAAGCCTCTGTGAAAAATCACGTCTCCGAATTGGCAGATTTCTAATACTGTTTACACATTTTTAATGTTGTTTACTGTTGTTAATTTTGTAATCTGTACTTTTGCAACTGGTACCTGAACTTTCGTAACGATTCCTAAAAAATATATGCTTTTTAATTATTATTATTTTATAAGCTGTTATTTAGTTCACTCTTGGTGCTTGTCGCTATGGTTAAAAGATGGTCATGGATTTTTAAACTGCTTCCTGATAAGATATAGAACTCAAACTTTGTACATACACTGCTTGTGGATGTGGTGTCATGCTTTTGATTTTTAGAGGATTAGATTTTTTTACAAATTTAAAGTTGAAATGATTTTTTGCAAATATTAACAAACTGAGAATCTCAGAATATTATAGCTTACACCATAACACACTGTGGATGAAAAAAAATTAAATGAAATTTTTAGCGTAATTTAAAAAAAAAAAAAAAATATTTTGGGAGAATTTCTGAAAACTCTTTCATATTTTTAGACTTTTTGACAACCATTAATTTTAAAAATTTCATATCTAAAAATATATCGGTTATAAATTTCCGACATTTTCACAGCTTATGAAACAAACTTTTCACAGTTAAAAAAAATGATAAAGGAAATTAATTGGATGACTTTTTTGACTTTTTTTGAAAGATATGCAATGAAGCAGAATGGGAAATATTGGTTCTTCTTGGGCAACGTTCTTATTAGATTGAAGCCTAACTACTGATTATACTTAGTGATATTCTAAACACTTGTACGAGTATTTCTGCGGAAAATTCCAGAACTTATGTATTAAAATTATTTGTATTAAAATTGTTTTGAACGTGTTTTACAAAACAAAAACAGTTGAAGAAAAATTCTGCTTGTGTTTTATGAGGTTTTGCAATTTTTCTGGCCACATAAGGTTTTAAAAAAAGGTTTCTAATTTATGTTTATATTTACCAATTGAATAAAGAGCACTAGGTTTGATTTATATATACAGTATATATGTGTATTGAAATTCAGTAATAAAAAATTCAGTAAATAAATAATAATAAATTCAGTAATAAATTTTAAAAGATTTGAAATGATTAATGTATATTTAGACAGTTTGTATTCTTTAAATTGCAAATGCAAACTGAGAAACCTTTTGTATTTTTTTGAATAAATCATTTTAAAGTCCTAAAATATATACAGGTATGGACTAATTAATTATTTTTATTTACTGCTTATTTAAAATTATATACATTAGAGAAACAAGGATGGGTTTGCAAAATACTGAAAGGAAAAATGATTTGAAAATGAAATGTGACTGAGATTATATTTGTTTAAAGATTTTAGATAAAAGTATATTTTTATTTTTTCTCAGAAACTAATTCATTAATTGCAAAATCATTCCTTGAAGTTATTAAAAACAGTCTAATAAATACAATAAAAAAATGGGGGGAGACAATGAAAATTGTAGGAGAAAAAAAACATTTTAATTGTAAAATTTTTCTTCAAAAATTTAAATTAAAAAAAAATACTAGCAAAAACTTTTTTTCAGCTTAAAATTATTGGTACTTTTCCGTTTTGCCGGCGCAAGCGATAAAGTCGCCAATAATGGTACAACCGATGCCAAACGGAATATTCTCGCTCGTAACCTTTTACGCCTCATTTTGAAAACAAGTCGCAGCTTTTCTTATCAGATTGATTGTTTCTTTCAATACTGGCATATAATTACATAGAATTTTTATCAGCTAGTTCAGTTTTATGTCGAAGGCCATTCTCGGTAATTAAGTCAATTAGGATGCAATCACAGCGCTAACCCAAAGCTGAAAATATAGAAAAAGTAAAGTCAGGGGTTAAATTTATTAATTCTAATGAGAATGCATTAGCGAAGTAAAGCACTGCAGTTTTACATAATTTCTGAGTAAGCTATTCGTACGAATTGAAATATTTCTTGCATTTAAACTTGTGTTCCAAATTAAGATTTAACTTGAAATTAATGTAGATAATTACTGAGAGCATTAGATTTTTGTAGAGTAGTTTACGTGAGATGAGATCGCTTGAGGGTCACGTGATATGAACCGGCGAATCGGAATGTTGAACCATGAAAACATAGTAAATTCTTAAATTGATGTCTTTTTACAAATTTATTGTCTTTATTTATTGGCTTTTTATAAAATTTTAAGCGATATTAAAATGTTTATGCCTTCAAAAAAAAAAAAAAAAAAAAGAATTCTTAGAACTAACATTTTTTTTAATATTTATTATGTGTATACTGTATGTTGTCGCCAATAAATTCTGCTTGGCGAGATTTGCGCCGGCGAAACGGAAAAGTACCAAATTATTTTGTCTCACAAAACCATTTAATAATATTCATAAAAAGTAGACAAAAGGCTTAAATTAAAAAAAAAAAAAAATCATTCAAAAGGTACCGAGTCCCTTGTCACGCTGAAGCCGATATGCACTAGTCTTAACTTTAGTTTTAATTTGAACGATATTTCTGGAATACCTAGCATCAGATAACTTCGTCTGTATTTGTCTATAATTTCCGTATCTTGTACAGTTCTATCTAATTTTTTGGGGGAAGCTATTACTAACTAAAGTCCTACAGTAACTAAAATTAAGTACTATAGTAACTATAGTAACTAAAATTAAGTGAACTGAGCAGTATAGTGCGGAAAATCTCCCCATTTGCCCTGCTCCCGAGAGGTTAGGAACATTCAACCAAGTTCGGCGAGGCAGTTAATGCTTATCCAATGTGAATGGGGCACGTTGGAAGAACCGGTTTTCGCTACCGGTCGAATCTGCTCTTGTGAACGGGGCTTTAGAGTATCACAAGGAGTATAGGTACTCTTCTGTTATCAGGAACAGATTAAGAAATATATGTATGTCTGCTTGTGGGGTTGTACGTATATATGTATGTGTATACACACATATACATGGCGCGGCAGCATTCATAGCGTAATTTGACTTGAGTAGTACAATGGCATACTGCATGAATGCATGTCAGCTTGTGTCGCATTCGTGCACTAATGAGCTGCCATTTCGAGTGTGACAGTCCATGATGGATTGGTGGAGTGCACAGCATCATGCCTTTGCTGTTGAAAGTTATTTCAAGAATAACTACTCTATTATTGCTACCAAGTGCCTATTTCAGCAATATTTCAACTTGGGACATCATGGTAAAGTTACAGATGGATGGACCATTGCAACAGACATTTCCAGGTAATTTCCCATTTTGGTGACATTTCCTAGCTGCCTCGCTCACCTGATCTTTCATGTGCAGACTTTTTCCTTTAGGGCCACCTGAAGCAAGTACTTTTTCAAACACATTATGCCACCATTCCTGAGATGAAGGATCGTATCAGAACTGCCGTCGGCAATAAATTCAAATATTTCTTAGAAAATTCTGAATAAAAATTATAATTTTTTGCAGGTGTGCTTAGAAATACATCTACTTTAAGGCAATGCTAAAAATTTTATAGGTATAAAGAACATGGAGTATGGAGTTTATAGGTAAAGAGAACAAAAAGTTGTTTTATTCCCCGATATTCACAAGAAATAATATTTGATGTTTATAAGATTTGTCCAAATGAACAATCACAACTGGAATATTTACATTATAATGACCATGAAGTAACTGCCATACATTTTAAGATTTCAAACATGTACTTTATTTTTATAGTAGCAATGTCTTCAGGAGTAAATTTGCCTCTTGTAAATGAAATCCATTCTCATTCCAGTGCACGTATCACAATTGTTGTTTATTAATTTGAACAACTGTTGCTAATATTAAACATTAGTTCTTTTAAATATCAGTGATTAAAATGACTTCTCATTTTTTAAGTTCTTTGCTATGGTCCTACACCAATATTTCACATTCCACCACATGTTGCATAATTAAAGTTACTACTTTTGCTCCTTAAAGTTGTGATCAATTCCTTAAGGCATTCTCAAAAGAAGAAAGATCTGTGATTAAGGTTTCCCTCTCCTGGAATTGGGCCCTGAAAATTAAAATCTCTCGGCTCCCGGAAGGAATTTAAAATAAATATTACTCTTCCAGAATATCAGGTTTCTCGAAAATAATGATACAATGTGTGTGGACGAAATGCTTGAGAGCATCGAAAATTACACGACTGCCCACAGCAGCCAAAGAACGTCTATGTCAATACATATTCTTTGCAACAGCAATCTACAGTGAGCGGTGAGTAAGCGCCTCACATTTCTGAAATAATACACTCCAGAAAGATTAATTATAACCAAACTGAAGATTCTGGAAGCTATTACAAACTAAAATGCTAAATGACATACTTATATTGCTCAAAATATAACTCAGACTACTATATTTGAATTCTAAAACTTTAAAAAATAAATTATTTTCATTAATAAATTACAACACAACAGTTTATAATTTGTTCAGATTATACTTTTATACTGCATAACAATTAAATTTTTTCATATTGAAAAACAATCATACATTTAAAAAGCAAGACATAAATAATGATCCATAAAATGATATAAACAATACTTACTTGTACAGATGAGACACATGGGTGATCAGTGCCATGCAAAATACATCTTCCAAAATTATTACTGTTGCTTTGTGAAAATGTATGTTGTATACACCATTCCAAGTTTCGGACAGTTCTGGATAACACTGAATGTGAAAGCAAGATACCCGCATCTAAAGTACAATACAATGAATCAACATCTAATGGTTCACCCAGATGAACGTTTTGTGTTATACTGATATGACTGACTAAATCAAAGAGATTCTTTCCTCTGATATGAGTCGTATCTTTAGTAAAAAAGAAAAAATCATATTCATCAAGAAAATTTTCTGCAATATATTGCAACATATTAAAAGGAGCAAGAATTTCTCTCTTATCTGGAAATCCTACTACTGAGCCAACATTTGATTCAGAAATTTCTAGTTCTGCACCTTCAAGGAAAAATACTATTTTATTCACATGTTTACTTAGGGTTCTATTTAATGCTGAACCAAAGGTTAATATAGAATCTGGCGTCGATAATATACCAACAAATAACTTTTCTCGGATGCCCAGTTCTGTTGAATAATATCTAGCGCGAGGAACTTGAATTTTTTCAGCTCGTAATGCTTTCTTCGGTTTGTTATTTAGATTAAGAACAGGTTCATATTCGTCAACTGTTACTGGCAGAATTTCTGAGGGCTCTGATCGCATAACTGAAATAATTTCGTTCGGGGAATGAGAGAAACAGTGTTCTTCTAATACAGGAATTAAAATTAATGACAATGTTATACCTATACAGCAACCAATTATTAAAGGTGTTTGATGAGAAAAATAAAATTTCACCCTGTTTAGGATTCTCATATTGTAACGGTAGTGGCATGTGGAACAATCAGTAAAAGAGGCAAATTTTGGCAGAAATGACACGGACACTAATCATGACAATCACACTAACACAAACATGAGTATTTGACACAATTAAAGGGGAGAGCGAAAAACGCTCCCTGAGATGACGGAAGGAAGGATGCATTCGATTACGATAAACCTATCGCGAAGGGTTTCATTCCGTAAATAACCTTTTTAAAGATCTGCTTACTGTTTCAAATTTCTAATGATAAATTATCCTGAATACATAATAATAATAGTAAAAAACAATAATATACTCTTTTTCATAATAAAGTTCCCACTGGTAGTATGTTTTGAGTTGATTTCATCCGTTTTTCAAATTTCTGTGGGACATCATTTCTGAGTAACTTTCGGGTTTTTAGATGACTGTTAAACATCAATTTGTAAAGAATAACTTCTTTCCATAAATCAAAATATTTACATAGCGTTAGAATAACATTAATCTCAGCAATGAACAGAGTATGAAAACGAACTTGTAAAATAGAGGGGAAGAGTTCGTATTGCTAATGTCTCGCGACCAATTTTAGACGCATAATTTTTTAATTTATTAATGCTTTATCGTAAATTTTAAATCCAAAACAATAATTGACAGCATCACTAAGCGTTGCTTCAGATGGCAAGACATCCCGAGATATCGTACCGAAAATCAGAGCACTCATGGTATTACACAGGCAATCAAAACTAAAGGTTCTTCAGTAGCAGCTAAGTACCTGATAAAGTGGCTGGCGCAAAATTAGAATATACTTGTCATCTGTAGCCCTTCAAAAAGCTTCTGGAGTAGTCCTCTGCTGATGGTAAAAAAATTGGGTGGATCTTGAAGACCTTGCGGGAGAAATTTATGGCAGTAGAAATATCGAGTAAGTATAACTGATTGTTGCTCTACCGTTTTCTGTCAACTTCAGGAATGTAAATCTTAACTCCAACCAGGGTAAAGTGAACCAGGAAAAATTTATCACAGTCAACAAATATTTTTCCGATCGGTGAACTGAAGGATTTGTCTGGGCCCTGCGTAATACCATGCAAGCGATGAAATAGGTGGCAAGGCTGCAGTTCATTGACATGCAGCAGACGTATAGCCTTCTGCAGTGCTCTTCCAAACCATTATTCGATCTGATGAATAACGGTAAGTTTCCAAACAAGTATGAGTTACAGTTCCATCGTTCCCTATCACATTAAGTTCCTCAAAAGAAATCTCATGTCCACGCAAAACCTGCACCATAATAATGTCAAAAGTGTGAAACTGAATAAATTCATCATGTAAAAAATAACAATATCTATAATTCAGAATCACATTTTTATTTCGGCTCATTTAGCAATTTTAACTCTTTTTTTGGAATTAAAAACATATCTATCTTTATACACTTTGTAAAAGCATGCGCGCAAAGCAATCGCTGGCAAAAACAAGAAATCTCATGTATAACCTAATGGGAAGTTACAGTAAAAGCTATATCTATAACAAGTCCCATAGAAGGAGAAACATCACCGATATACAGTGGCGTAGCGAGGGGGGGCAAGGGGGCATAATGCCCAGGGCGCCGTTCGCAGAAGGGCGCTAAATGGTCTCCAAACAAGATTTTCATCATATTACTGTGTTCTTTTTCGGGGAAGGGGGACGCTAAAAAGGTATTTTGCCCCGGGCACCAGTTATGCTCCCTACTCCACTGCCGATATATTCTGATTTTGGTTCTTGTATGAGGAAATATGATGATGGTTTTCTTTTTCCGTTGTTTAAAAACGCTTTGGATTAATTTTTTTTTTACCATTGCGTAGTCTTTCTTCCCATAAAAGTAAAGGCGACGCAATGTTTCTTTAATAGACTGATTCTGCAAATAATTTCTGTCATTACGAGTTTTTATTCTTCTTTTTGTTTTTGTCTACGACGTGAGAAATGTCTGAATGAGTTATCGCATACATAGTTATATCATAATTAAGACACAATAACACGCCGAATAAATACTAATTCAGAAGTCAAACAACAAAAATCAGCGTTATACCTACAAAATTTTCACGACTAGTTTCGATGGTTTTACCGAACATCATCTCAGTGCAAACCGCAAGAACAAGTAGGAATAATGATTAGATAAGATAAGAAAGCCTGAACAAGAATAAGCAAGTGGCGCCATGTTGGCGAACCAGAACTAAAACATAATTTCTCTAAAAGCCGAAGCCTTCTGAATTAGTATTTATTCGGCGTGTTATTGTGCTTAATTATAGAAGCCCCAAACAGGCTAGATTTTGCTTTCTTTTTGCACGTGGTTGTGGCCGGCCATTTGTGATTGTAGAGTTTCGGTGAGAGTACTTTTGCAATTTTCAAGTATGTTTTGTTTTGTACATTTGGATATTGTGCTTTTCTTGTCTGATTTCATGCATTTTTACAAACGTTTTGTTTTCTATTCATTTCACTCGGATTTTTCTGCTGTTTTTGTACTTTTTATTGCTCAGTAATTTAGTTTGGTTTTCTGCATTGTTTATCATGCCTTCATCCTAATCGTTTCACTAAATTACGCCTGACGGCCAAAAATTCCTGATCATCTTGATTTTTACTTAAATGTAAATGTAAAAAATTGATCCCCATTTTATTCATCAAATCTAATCAAAAACCTTTCGAGTCGCGTTTCAAGAATTCTGTTAAATCAAGCTTGCCTTATTCGGTCCCGTGATAAGGGATACACGTCAACAATTGTCCAAATTGAACATTAACTCTATAAGCTTCATCTGGAACTCGCTAAATCATATCCAAAATTCTGACTGCCCTTGAACAAAGTCTTGGGTCTAGACGGAGAATGCAGTTACGTCATAAAAACCCTTGCAGTTATTCGAAAAACTTCTTTTACAGTCTTCCAGTTTTCAAAAAAAAAATCTTCCCATTGTAAACAATCAACCCAATAGTTAATATTTCTAATGTTAGTCTTTCAGAAGAACAAGAGAGAATTCTAAAATATAATTTTACTTCTCACAACCTGTAACCTCGATTCCCAAAGATTTTGGCTCCTATCGAAAAAGCTTAAAGTTCAGTAAAGTTTCAGATTCACAGAAAGAAATGATTAGGCATCTATCGCTCATAATGTGTAAATTCAATAATAAACCTTTGAAACAAATCTAACTGCGAGAGAAAGAGCTAAATGCGCGAAATTCATTCTAACCGGATATTATCATTTCAAAGGCCGACAAAGGTGGCGAGATAGTCGTCATGGATAAGACACTTACATCGATGGTGTCACTAAACTCTTAAACGAAGACCATATAATCCGATCCCTAAAGATCCTTCACCTTCGGACTTATCCAAAATAAAAACTGGATCAAATCTTCGCAAATCATTTCAAGCAACTAAAACATTCGCTTATCCATCGTTGCGAATTTGCCAGATTATATGCTCTTCCCAAAATTCATAAAAGTGGATTCCTTTCCCCTATTGTATCATTTGGTACTACCTCGTTCCTAGTAATATTAGTTTCTAGATTTTACACTCTATTAGACAATAACATTTACACCATAAAAAATTCAATAGAGTTTGTAAAAAAGGTTTAAAAAATTTCTCCAGTATTTATCCTTTCTTTTGATGTAAATCATTATTCACCAATGTACAGTGGAGGGTGCATTAAGATGTCTAGAAACCAGATTCGTGAAGTTCATTTCTCTTGCATCGAAATTGAGGAGCTAATTTCTCTCTCAAACTCTGTTTGAAACAAAACACATTTTGTTTTAAAAATAAATATTCAAGCAACTGAGGGATTAGCCAGGGAACCCCCTCAGTCCCATCCTGGCTGATATCTACATGCATTATTATAATCAAAATTGTTTGAAACTTAAAATCCGGCATGGTTCCGCTACGTAGACAACTTTTACCCTGTTTGAAGGTAATAAAGATGATTAAATAAAGTTCTTCAACATGAATTCTATATCCTGCTATTCATTCACTTTGAAACTTGAGACTTGCAATCTCTTCCTTTCTCGACATTCTGCTCACATGTAACACATCCATTCCGTTACTACAGTTACCGTTAACTTCATCGGTTCCTTCCACCACACTTAAATCAGTCATCCGACTAAACAAAAGTTAGCTTCATTTTATTATGTTTTCCGTGCTCTTCAAGTTTGCTCCTCCAAACTACCTGATGAAAACTAAATTATTTAAAAGCATAGCTATTGACAAGGGGCTTTTTCACCCAACATATTAATCAAGCAGTTAAAATTCTCATCAACACACTAAAAGCCACACTTATTTTAGGAGATTATAAAAATTTGTTGTCATTCCTTCTTTCCATCAATTAGCTATAAAGTTGCACATATTTTGCAGAAATTTAACTTTCGGGTTGTTTATTCTCCCATCAATAAAATTCCGAGTTCTTATACTCAAGACCCCATTATATGAATTCCTGGGGTATTTTAGGATTCCTTGCCAGTGTGGTTTACATTGGCCAAACTAAGAGAGCCTTAAAATTTCGCGTCAAAGAAACATGGGCATATGTTAGAAAAAGGAAACACAGAAGTCTTCTGTTGCTCAACATTTGGTGAAAATCACAACTTTAATTTTTCTGCTGCCAAAATTATTCAAAAAACATCTTCCATTGGAGAAATGGATTTTCTAGAGCATTTCACATTAAAAAAATCTTTCTGTTCTAGTTAACCCTAATTCCAATCCAAATTTGCCTTCGGCTTGAGAAATTATGTTTTAGTTCTGGTTTCGCCAACAGATGGCGCCACTTGCTTATTCTGTTCAGCTTTCTTATCTTATATAATCATTTTTCCTTCTTGTTCTTTGCGTTTTTGCATATGACATGTTGTTCTGTACCCATCGCAAACTAGTCCTGTGAAATTTTGGTATGTAAAACGCTGATTTTGTTTTTGCTTCTGATTAATAGTTATATATTTCAGAATATAAACAATATTTATAATTGATGTACGTGTGAGTAACACGTGCATACGAAAATATCCCTAACATTAAGTAGGAAAGCCGAAATCTTAGTTAAGATAGACATGTTACGATTAATAATCAAATTTAATAAGGAAAAGTAACAGTTGCCGGGTACATTATAACGGCTTAAGAAATTCAGAGCACAGTACAGATGCGAGTACACAAGTTCACATATCTCGG